TAATATGAATTTGTGAAAAATCCTAAATTAACCTGTCAGATCTTAACGTACACAAATACTTCAAAAAGATAAGTGTAAGAAAAGCATATAACATTGATTTACAGCCTCGTGGCTCAGAAGGTTTAGAAGTCATCATTAAAAAAATAAGTTTCCCTATGGAGAAAAACAATGGGATTTCAACTCCTGGAACCCAACTGCTATCATGTTGCTAAGCTAACGGTGGGAAACTGTAAACACAAAAACACAGGGTTCAAACCATTTTTAATTACAATGAACTATTTCTAGCAATATTTTTCAGTAATAAAATGTTTATTTCCTTCAACTAAGCAACAAATCTCAAGCAGAAATATCTTATCAGAAACAAAACAGCATAGCTCTATATAGCTTATATAAGGTTATTTATGATATGTTATGTTATTTTTGACTTCCCTGATGCCATAAATTTAATGCTCTAGATAGAAGAACCTAAATAATATAGAGGTCACACAATTGAAACTCCATCGAAACCAGAAATTACAGACTAAAGATTGCATATTACATTACTCATGCCAACACAAAACATTTTTAATTATCTTCTAATTATCCACCCGTTTCAGAATTAAATGTTATGACTGAGTAATGTGAACCGTTAAAGTCTTTCTAAAAACGACTCTAAATGGGCTCAACACAAGGAATAAAGCAAGTACAGGAATGCAGACTTTCAATCTGAATTAACGGTGGCTCATTTGGTGGACACAAAGAGGCTTTTAAAAACAATCCACAAACACACTCACACTAGCCCGTCTGCAGCACCCGAAAAGAAAACCAAATCTTGTGCGTTTCAATTCTCAGGCCAGGATCTGACAGCGAGGCCATCCTCCTCTGCATTTGAGAAACACAGAGGTTACACACTGAAAAAAAGGCATAGAAACAAAAAGAGTGACGGCCTTTTTTTAAACCCGATAACCAATATTGATGTCACTATACAAGCGCAACAGGGCGCAAGTAAGGCTGCATTGTTGCGTCGCTACTGTGGGAAATAAAATAAGCTGACAAATTATATGGACGAATCTTGCTTTATATAAAGTGAAGCAAATTTTAGACACTGGGACAGGTCACCATTTCTTTTAAGGCAAGACTCTACAGATAAAACGATTGTTGTTGTCATTCATCCACAGGTCAATTTTAAGATTTTGGGCTATTTTACTTACAGAAAACATCCATAGACATTTAAGTGTGTTTAATTACAATAGACATTTAAGTGTGTTTAATTATTAGCATACACTTCAAACGGTCTCAAACTGAGTTGTTTCTTCAGAAATCTCCACTTAGGCCCTACACACTAGACCTTACAGTTATTCTGAAGGTTTTTTTTTTTAAAGAGGAGTTTGTTCCTGACTTATGGAGTGATATAAAGATATATCCAAATTCCCTTTCTGTAATATCCATTCTAACATGCCATCAAAATGAAACAAGAAATTTGAACCTGCTTTATCTAATGTTCAGACTTCTTTACAGGGAATTCATGCAAATGAGTGCATATTTAAAGGAGTAGTTGATTTTTTTTTTTTAAAAACTTTTGCTGATAATTTACTCACCCCCATGTCATCCAAGATGTCCACGTCTTTCTTTCTTCAGTTAAAAAGAAATTAAGGTTTTTGATGAAAATATTCAAGGATTTTTTTTATTCAGCATCTGTAATCATTTAAAGCCCTTTGAACAGTTTGCACTGAAACTGTCTTTTGGACCTTGAACCGTTTGGTTCCCATTGAAGTCCATTATATGGAGAAAAATCCTGGAATGTTTTCATCAAAAACCTTAATTTCTTTTCGAATGAAGAAAGAAAGACATGGACATCTTGGATGACATGGGGGTGAGTAAATTATCAGCAAAAGCTTTTTCAAAAGTGAACTACTCCTTTAACATAACATCTTAGAAAACCTGCAATACACAGTAATGTACTGTGATGAGCCGAGTAGTGAAGTATGGTGATGGTGTCTTGCCTTAAAGGTAGGGTAGGCAATTTTCAGAGAGGCTAGCAATAGCAAGCTAGCTTTGAAAGCATAAGATCCCACCCTCCCTTTAGCTTCTCCAAAGCCACGCCTCCTTCAAAACACACACATGAACACACACAGCAAAGTCTGCAAAACGTCACGAGACGAAAGATTGAGTTAAACTACCTCAAAGCTCATAATATTACAATAATAATGAACATAAACAACAAAAAGAGCTCGGACCTGTACCATCTGACTGCTGCAGATTAATTTCGCCTATGATACTGAGTATAACATCACAGGTTGCCAATGCCATCTCTTTCGAATTACAGTAGTTATGGCGTGAACACAGCATAAACTGGTTGTTTTGGTTCAGGAGGAACTGTAAACACAGGAACGGTGCTCGTGACTAGTGTCTGTGTAACTCTGTATAGCATTAAACGCGCTAATGACGAGCGATGTCTGTGTGAGCAGGTGCGCAGAGGTGTGGAAATACATACGCTCACAGGACGAACATTTTATGCTCCTACACCTTCTGCAGATTATATACAAAAACATTAAGACCATTCAGGGGTTTCTGTTTTTCTCGTAAATGTTAATTTGGACTTTTCTATGCATGCTCTTTGAGGTGGTGACCATAGACCTCCATTATATGACTGACAGACAAACGGTTTGACCTAAAAATATCAAAATTGAAAATACTGCGGAAACAAAGACACCCACATCTTGGATGCCCTTGAGGTAAGCTAAAACATATCAAAAATTAATTTCAAAGTGAACTATCCCTTTAACAAAGGGGTTCGTGATATTGGGCGTATATGACACACATGTGCGTTCAGAGCACGCGCTCCCATGATACATGTTCATATTCATATTAAGGTCAAAACTACTACATTTCTTCACATCATAACATCATAATTCCCAGACAACACCATGTCTGCTGAAAGGATTAAGCACGTGCGATTAAAGTCCTCTTGGAAAACGATCACGGGCAAATATGATCCTGTCTCATGTAGTTTATTTGTATAGGCCTATGTATTTTACTTAAAGGTGAATTCAGGTTGATTGGGACACTTTTCCCCAGTCATCTCAATGGGACCCAATCAACATGAATCCACCCCTATATTTGATACAGTGTTTTTTGTAGTTTCTGTTAGTATTATAAACATCCCATCAGATTATTCATGTTCTCGGAGTCCAATGTTTGGAAAAAAGCACACTTTTAGACCTTTTAGCAGACTATTATTCAGTTCAATTAATTAAGAGAGCCAGACTGAACGCATATCGTATAGCAAGACATTGCTGGGGACACAACCAACAGCTTTCCCCCTCTCGTATGGTCTTTGTGTTGTGAAAAACGCTGAGTTTACACACTGTTCACCTTCACACATGCTTTCCTCCGCAGTCACTGAACAATGAGCAAACGGGCAGCTCTCAAAACAGACAGGTGAGATAGAACAGGAGATTTGAGAAGGTTACCACAAATGTGTCAGACTCAATGGGCTGCGTCTCAAAACATAGCCAGCAGCCTAGCTAGACTGTCTTTTGCTGTTTTTGCGCAGTTTTGAGGCTCTCATGCTGCCTAGACATGTTCAGCTGACTCAGAAGAAGAAATTGCACTCTAGAAAGGTAGAACACTAGGGTTTGACACACGGCCACATCATACCTGCATTGCCGTAGGACCTCGCCAGCAGCCACCCGACACTGGCGCAGATTCTGGCTCTGCTCGAGTCATACTGATCCAACGGCTTTATGTCCGGGACCACAAAAGTCTTCTTCATTGCATTCGAGTCCACCATAGCAGGTCCAAAACAGACGGGCCGGGAAAAACAGAGGCGAGAAATGAAACAAAAATCAAACGCTCATCCTTTTCTTTCACGCGACCACAGCACGGCCGATGATTCTGGTAACGTTAGCGTTCCGGCGGAAAAAAAATAAAGTAATTCACAATTTATTCCTCTTTAGGTCTTCTTTTTAATACATCCAGTACAGCTGACGGGTATATATGGCTGTTTTAGTCTATCGGAGCGACAAATTCAGCGATATTCCAGGGGATGTTTCACTATTTTCGACCCCGCTTCAGAGTCCACATCGCTCTAGCTGATACGCTCCGGACTGATTTCCAGGTACTCCATACTCCTGTCAATCATCCCGCCGGGCGTCCAATCAGGTGTCAGCGAGACAGCGCTGAGGGGGCGGGGCTAAGCTTGTGAACTCAAGCAGCAGGTAGGAAGGCGCTTTAACTCATGGAAACAGGTGCAGGACAGGTAGAACTTGCCCAGAATAGTGCGAAGAGGAAATATTAGTCATTATGAACAGCGTTGTACAAATAATTGGCACGGCATTACAATGCTAAACCGGCTGCAGTGCTAACAGCATGAGTTTTATTGTTTCTTGGGAGGATTTTCTATTTCAAGAGCTATTGTGTTGCAAAGTTAACTTATGGCCTATAATTTTGCTTCACACTATATTTAATAAAACAACATATGTCGACAAACCTGTATTTAGGCCACGGCCTGTCGTAAACCAGTGCAGGCTTTATCAAACCCTCTTAAATCACCAAAACAATGTACGCACTTTCACAGAGAATTGGTTCAGGAGTACAGCCGTGAGTTCACTGAAGGTCCGGGTCACATGATGTTAGAGAGACCACTGCAGTAACTTTGTAAGAAGATTAACTCACAGAACTATTTTAATCTAATTAGGGAGGCACAGTGAATTAGCTTTTTCTCATTCTTTGGTTTTCCATTTCGCTTTGTAGTAGAACCAGCATTTATTATGCTTATTGATATAATCAGCCTCGAACATCTTTAAAAAAAAAAAAATGTATATCCCATAACACACAGAATAAGAAACTTGAACAAAATGAAAGTTTAAAGAGACAGAGTGATCATTAACCAGATGTGCCACACTAACATATTAGTGAAACCACAGCATGATTCAGATTCAACAGCTCCACCCATGTGTCCGTGCAACGATGGGCAAAGCCTTCAGAGACTTGGAATCTGATAACAAACGATTTGTAGATGTCATACATGGGGATTGATCTTTTAATGTACAGTAGACAGAGGAAAAACAGCGCTTTAACATTTTATCTACCCAATGTCATCATGAAAATAAAAAAGGAAAGCATACAAATGTTGCAAAGAGTGACACCATGTGTTCTGAATTGGTATTGCTAAAGTGTAGCAAACCATTTACATAATTCATGTTGCTAATAATTTTCTCTGTTTCTTGGTTACAGCAACATATTCAGTCGTCCTTTAGTCCTCCGAAGACAGCAGTCGGGACAGTCTTTTGCTCCAACTGGACTTCTGAAATGACACACATGCAAATGGATCAGCAACAGAACACCCACAATGCTGATGAAGTGTTCGAGTATCTAGCAAAAAAACAAACAATCATGTTCCATCTGAACTAACCATCCGGTTCCCCATCTTCTGCATCCTCATCCTCATCAATGTCAATCTCGTCAGGATTAGCTTGTTTGGCCAGTTGGGCGAGTTCACTGCGAGAGGTGTCACTTCTGTACAAATCAAACAAATGTCAAGTGATGTAAATAGCACAATAGAAACTTGGCAGAATCGTTTGAATAAGCCATTGAGCCGGGCTTGTGCTCTGATTGGTTGACGAAGCACACCTGACGAAAAGGATCTTGTCTTTGGGTTTGGGTTTGTCCTGTTCGGCCTCTACAGCCAGTTGATGTGCCTTCTGCTCCAGCATCCTCATGTCATCCACTCCGCTCTCTCCCGGAGCAAGATCTGACACTGAAACACACAACACAAACGTTTACACACACACACACTGGATAATGATAATATGCTGTTACATAACCTCGATTTGTGGATTACTCCCAACACCCATTTGCTTACCACATAAATTTCACATGGCAAACATAGATTGTCATTCTAGAAAATAACTAGATTCTGCCCCACTCAGGTGTCATTTATATACGATTATAGAATTTATTCATTAACTAGCTTTAATTGTTATATATATTTTCACATTTCATTTAAAAGGTTTAGTAATTATGCATGTCACTTATTTTTCTAATCATATATACATTGTAGCTTTAATTTAACTTTATTCAACCTAAACATATCGTTATAAGCTTGAGTACTTAAAGTTTTGTCTAATATTTCAATTTCATTTTATTTCAGCCTTAATATGTTTTGAAATTTAGCTAACTGAAACACCACTCCAGTTATTAGTGTGGTAAGATCAACTGTTTTTATAAAGACACATTTTTCAATCAATTTTGATCTCCAGTTGGCAAGGCAAAGCAAGTTTATTTGTATAGCACATTTCATACACTATGGCAATTCAAAGTGCTTTACACAAAGGAATTAAAATAATCACAAAATAAAAGCAAGGAAAATTAAAAAATTAAAAGTCTTTAAATATGAATATGTTCTTTGAGGTTCGTATATGTTAATAAAGGTTAAGCCTCTGTCTGAATTGACGTGTTTTTAAGGGGTGGCTCCTTTAAGGCTTGTCAGCAAACGGCCAATGTTGTGATTATGTCACTGCATAGGACACAGTGTCAACGCCCACTCTCTATTGCACAAGAGTAAGTGTTGTGAGAATTTCCATATAAAACATTTTATGATGACGCATTACTTAAAGAAAAATGGTCACGCCTGCACCTATGTTAAACACTAAGGTGGATACGGTATCCAGTGTAGACAGCGTCAGTGATTATAATGGGTTTTATTTTACATTGACATGTGTTAAACCGACTGAACAGCAGTGGGCGGGGTTAATTGTGTGATGGTGTAAAATGATTTGTCGATATCTTGCTCTAGAGTCAGAGTCACAATACCCAAACAAACCATTTTTTGAAGCTTGATTCCATAAATGCTTTTATTTTTTCTACACGAGGAGGACGTTAAAGGGATACTTCACCTCTGGAAAGATGAACGTGTATTTAAAATGGGTCATTTATGTAGAAGAAATGTGAAATTATTTTACAATTTGGAGCTTTTTAGACTGAGAAAAGTGTTTTTGGCTTATGTGGATGAAAGACAACAACTCCCAGAATGCACTTGCTTCTCTGCCCTTGGAGGTCACGCCTACCGGTAACAAAGCGCAGTAGTTAAACAACAAGTCTAGGCTACTAGTGAGTCTCCATGATTTCCGAGTCTGCCCGGGATTGCGAGATCGCCCAAAATGTCCGAGATTCGGCTTTTGTGTTCTACAGTCGCCATTCGTTATGTTTACTGTGGCGAGCGGGACGAGACTGAGGGCCGCGCGAGAACGGTGCGAGGCCGGTGGCGTGATTACAGATTATAAACACCTATGAGACGCTCCGGTCTCGTATCTCTCTTGGAGGAGCGGGAATTTTCTAACCAATGTTAAAATGCACATCAACCGGTAGGGCTGGGCAAAAAAATCGATTTTTCGATTAACCGTTTTTTTAAAATGTGTTCGATTCAAAATCGATTCTCAACGGCCGGAATCGATTTTCTTCATATAAAGGGCTCGCGGACGCGGTGCTGCATCTTCTCGTCTCTCTGCACTAGGCAAGCGCCAAGCGCTGCAGCTGTCGATACACACACGCGTTCAGGAGTCGGGACATGACGGAATATTCACTCGGGCCAGCATTGCATCGTAACCTATGATCGTAACTAACGTTTATCATTTTCACGTCTTTTTAAGTTTTACAAGCAATGTTAAACCATCCCGTGCTCGCGCACTCTCAGAGATGTCTCACTGCGTGCACAGTAACGTTACAGCCTAAATCTGCCTCACAAACAGCTCGCCAGAAACAAAAGTTTTATCCCTGGATTATATCACTTTAACAGTTAAAACACGCAACATTATGTCAAAACTCTGGTCTTGGTGAGTAACCTCCTAAAGACAGTCGGTAATGTCTTAAATTAGCATTAAACGCGTGTGACAGAAAGTTAATGTAACAGTAATGGATTCGCGCACTAGTTCTTAAAGTGAACGCAGCCATTTGTGTCAGTCATTAATTCTGTTGTCATAACAACAGAATATAGTATTAATTGTAAGCAATCAGAATTAATAGCCTTTGTATTTAATTCAGTCTGGACTAAAAGACTATCCAGTGTTATTTTACATTGGATTACTTTAGTCAGTTTCTGTAGTATTTCTGACATACCCAAAAAACTACCCCAAATGTCTTTTAATTTGTGTCTTTATTCTATTGTATTTATTTGTGCTACTTTTTTCAATTTAATTCAAAGATTGAAATCAAGCTTCCATACATAAACTCTTAAAAACAAAAATAAACAAAAAATTACATTACCATTTAGGTAAGATCAATGTAAAAAAAAAAAGTCTAAATATTTATATATTTATTTATCTATATCTATCTTAAACATAAATAACAATGATACTGTTTGATCAAGCTGTGCGACTGTTC